CCTAGTCATATATGTTTCTGAAATGTGCGGCTGTATTATAATCTAGTGTTATATGGGTTCATGAATGTGTAGGAGAACAGCATTTGGTCGCAGAGAGCTTTTACAAGTTCGGCTGCTCAGAGAGGTTTATGAGAGAAGCTTTGTGAGACTGGGGAGGAGAAGGAGGGGGACAACATAGAGAGAAATGAATGAGGGTGGGAGAGACGAGAGAAGATTTGGCAATTTGGGTTACATGAGAGTAAGAAAAGTTTTCTGAAAGAGTTTAAAGTAGCGGAGAGATGATTTATGAGAGGCAGAGGCACAGAGAAGGAAGATTTCTGACATGGCGGAGAAACACATAATGGACATCTACACTAACCGGCCACTTTATTAGGCACACCTTGCTAGTACTGGGTTTGACCCCGTTTTGCCTTCAGAACTGCCTTCATTCTTTGTGGCATGGATTCAACAAGGTGCTGGAAACATTCCTCAGAGATTTTGTCCATATTGACATGATAGCATCACGGGCCCAAAGTGTGCCAAGAAAATATCCCCCCACACAATTACTGTGCTCCTGCGATGTGCACAGACGCAGGCTATAGCATATATACAGTATGTATACGTGAGAAGTGTGTTTTTGGTGTTTTTGTGCATTACAGTGTCCGGACGAGCACACATAAGAGGTTACATGCCTAAAATGTAAAAAAAAAAAAAAGTGAGCTTCCATTCGGTTTTTCTGGGTTTATCTCTGAAACTTCAGTTTTATTTCATGTAGGAACAGCCGTAGGGCACGCAGTGTTGGGGTATCACAGTGCACATATACGTCTGTTAAGGCCAGGGCAAGCACACGTACACAATTTTATAAGCTAATGCTTGGAATGGAGGTTCTGTTAATAAATACTCACATATACAGTAGTTTGCCTTGCTCTAAAAGTACAGCAAACAAGTCTTTTTGACATGCGCCCAGAAAAGCAGTGATACTTACTGCATTCATTTTATTTTTTATTCTTGTATGTTCAGGTAAAATGTTGATGTATTCATTCTTTAGTGCATTTTATTAAAACAGAAGATAAAAACAAAAATCTGGATTATTTGGATTTTCCATGTATACAGCACTCTGGGACAACGTGGTACACATAGAACATCGGTGTACTATTTGCTAGCTAGGCTAAGAGATCCCGTTCGCTATGCTTGCTCATGTGATTTTCTGCAGTGAAAACGCACCACAGTAATTTATCTCTGCTCCTGTCTATTTGCCTTTAGTAAATAAGGCCCAGTGTGTTTAATCCGTTTGAATGTTAATGAATAGTTAAGATTCTGTTCTCCATTCTGCATGTGCTTATAGGTGTTCGTTGGCTACTCGTCCTCTCTGTTTAAAGAGGCATCGCACCTGTTTGCAGACTTTGGTAAACTGAAACCTGAAGACGCCAGAGTCAGTGTAGCAGAAGCTGCAGCACAAGGAGTGAACTGTTTAAAACCAGAGTACATAGCGGATTACCTCATGAAGGTTTGTCACACTAGCAATTTTATTGATCTAGTTTTAGCACATCAAAGCTGATTCTTGGTCCAACAATATATTCCAGTTTAAAAGCATTTCTTTCTTCTTAGGACCCGCCGCCTCCTGCCAGCAAATACTGCCTTCCTGACGCAGTTTCTTCTCTTCAAGTGACGGGGAATTCCCATAAGAGGAAAAACTCTGGGGAGAACACTGATGTCAAACGCTCCAGACTGTGTTACGATTAGGATTTTAACATTCCCCTTATTTAAGATTCTATGTGTGTCGTCTTATATCTGTAAATGTGTGCATAAAATAGCAATCAGCTCCACCAACTGAGCATTTCATGAAGTATAAACATAGTCGTGTAGCGGGGCTACTTTGCCGGTACATCATACTTACATGTGATTAACAGCAACTAATGCGTTTTGCACTCTCTATGCTGTATGTCTTGCAGTTGTTCTTAAAAAAGAACGTCTGTCAATACTCTTTAGCTTTGGGTACCTGAAGTGACCGGTTTAGCTAGAGATGCACCTGTACAGCTTACAGTGCTTGCTTGGCCTGTTTTGTTTCAGAAACATTGTTACCATTAGGAACCTTGCCTTGGATGGATTGGGAATGAGAAGTGTTATGGAGGAGTTTGGTGGCACAGAAAACTCTTACTTCACTGACCGAGCGCTCTTAAAAACTTGCCATGAGAAAGTACATTTATCTTATGTGGCCCAGACTATGCACACAGATATTTGGGGAAAACGCGTCTTCAAAGCTCACATCAGCTACCCTGAGATCTTGGCTCTTTTCCTATTACTTTCTATCATGACGAGAACCTGACAGAACCACACAGCAGATATTTGCAAGCCAACTTTAGAGTTGCAAGGGAGTTCATTTTTTCCCCGGCACCCAGCAGATGTACACTTTTGTACACCTGAGCTGCATATGCACAGCTCACTGTACACAAAAAGGAAAGTTGTGAACAGGAAGTGTAACGCGTTTTTTGTTCAATAGAGTAGGTAAAGGTAGAACCTCTGTCGCATGTTTATTACTATGTCCCTATTGGTATGGTTTCCTGTCCTTGTGACCACTCAGGATGTGGACGACACAAGGAGCAGTATCTGATAAAGGTCCAACCCTTCCCCACTCTGGGGGGGGGTGCTTTTATTGCTCTGCACAGAGGAATCATTTCTTCACTTCTTTGTTTAGTGACCACACAGCAAGCATGCCCCCATTAAGGGGGATTCCAATATGGCAGTATTACAAATCTGACCAATTCCCACTCTGTCCAACACAAAAAAAAAAGTGGCTGAACTTTGTTTCAAGTGGTTACACCTAAAAAAAAAAGCCCTAGCAAGAGTTGGCACAAAATATACTGTTCCTCTTACAAATACACTTGACAAGATCTGTCAAGCTGTAAGCTCTGCTCTGGTGTCTCAGGAGTGTATAGCACATTTCACTAGGCAAGCTGTTACCATGATCCATGTTGGTAAGTGCGCTGTCTGTATATACCCAGGAATGCTTAGGTCTGCTAAAAGCAGACATTGTTAAAACTATATATACAGAAGGATTTATACATATTTTCCTAACGGCAGCACTTGTGACCACGAAGGCACACCACAGACATTTGGTATACTGACCCGTCTTCTCACCCACATCTTCCGAGAGGCTTTTACAGATGAAATTGGGCTGGTTTGATGCTGCTGCATGTAGAACAATTGCAGTAATATGTACATAAATGTCCCTTTTTATTATTTTATAATGCTGATATTTTCCATTCATTCTGTGTACTTGTATATAAAACACTACCTCTTGATTGTAATGTTGGTATAAAGGAAATAAACAAATATTAGACAATTGTACATTTTTCCTTTTTAACTAGTTTTTATTGAGTGCAATCAGCAGATTTCGGTTTGTGGGATTTCCTATCAGCAGCACTTATAATAATAACTTTCTCTTTGTGGCCTTTCCAGTTGTTCAAGCTGAATTCTGGGATAAGCAAATAATGTCTACAAGAGTGAAGTATATTCTTACTTGAATCATGGTGTGCATTGTGTATTGCTTCCACATCTCTGCAGTGATCCAGAGTGAAACATGGCCTCTATGCAGGAGCTTACTGTAATAACGATCGGTCACTGGTGCTCTCTCTCCTCTGCTGGGTGAGTGGCCTCACATCCATGCAAAAAACAGTAGCCCAACCCTAGGGGCTATAATTCTTCCCTCATCCCTCTCCAGCCATGCTTTAGGGTGCTCAGGAAGATGGACATCTTCTCTCTGATGTGCTGTTTTTAAGGCTTCTTGAGTTCTTTTCTGTTTAATCAATAGCTGTTGGTGGAGTCAAGCCAGATCTCACTATTCCTGGAAGTGTCTCCATTCAGTCATCGAGTGCAGGATATCCCAGTCCTAGTACATCCTTCTGTTCAGTATAGGGAGTCTCTGCAGAAAGCTTTCCAGATCCAGAACAATGGCATATGCTGGCAAGTCTGACTCATCCTCTGAAGACTCACCATTTTACATTGAATAGGCTGGCTGTGGTTATTTCATATGCTCTGGAGGCAGCAGGACTGTGTGTTTTCAGGCAGCAAACAGTGCTCTGTGCCGAGCGGCTGCTATGTTTTCTTTCTTGTCCTTTGAGGGACACGGGTATTCTTAGACTGGCGGGTTATACTGCCGCCTACAAGAAAAATTAACACTGGCGACAAAGTCAGTAGCCAGCACAGGATAACCCCACCACAAACATTATGCCTCAGTGTTTGCTAGTGTCCTCAGAAGAGTGGACAACTGTTTTTCAGCAATGCAGCTTGGAAGCTTTTTTTTTTTACTATAAAACAGCTGCTGGTAGAGTCATGCTGGATGTATGAAATCCTGGGTAGTTTCACCAGTCAGCCAACAAAACCCTGGAAAAGTCTCCATCTAGACAGGCAGCGCAGGTTCCCAGTTCATTATCTATACTGGTGTTCCCTCTGCGACAGGCCTGCATGTAAGCAGTGACTAGTGTTTGTGTTCTAGTTCACACAGGACTTGGCTATTCAGGTCAGGCCTGGGGGGTTTTCCCGTGAATTTGTCAGTCCAGAGCTGATGCAGTTTTCACCTGGCCGCGTCTCTGAAGACTCGCCTTCATGATTGGATGTGGCAGACTAATGCTGTGTTGGGGATTCTTTCCGATATCGTGTCTGAATCTGTCCAAGGTACAACTGTCAGAACAGACTGTCATAAGCAGGGCACTGTGTGAAAGTGATTTTTTTTTTTTTCCCCTTTCCTACTCTGTCTTACTACTGGCTTTATTCAGAAACTTGTGACATTTGTACTTTACATTGGTGTCACTGATGTTTCTGGTTCCTCCAGGCACAAGGACCTATATATATTAAGGGGCCTCATTGTGTTGCTATGGTGACCTGTGCTTGTTGTACTTTATGTATTTCACAAGTTGGCCATATGGGGGAACTCTCCTTTTATTTTTACTCGGGCTTGCTGAGAAAAACTGTTCATTTTCCTCCTCTGTGGCTTTTGATGATGTAGTTTTCACTCAGTAAGGAGTGGCAATGTTTGTGAACGTTATACAGTGACCAGGCATTGGTAACCAGTATCTAGGTACCTGGGGCACGCACTCTTTCCTTCCTTGATTAAGGAACATAGCATAGATTCATCTCATTAATACAATACACCTAATATATGCTTGTCATAAACACTATGCCATGTCACTTATGCCGTAGCTGGGCTGTGACAGATTTACTTTGTGGAAGAGCCTCTGGGAGGAGCTATTGTAAATGGTAATGCAGCTTGATACTGTTACTGCTAGCTAGCAGTTCAGCGAACATGTGAAAGGGAACTCTGTTCCATTCATGCCCATAGCGAACCCTCTGCTAAAAGCCCATAGTCTCATGTGGCTAGTGTTAAGGTGCTGTAGATGTTTAAATGCCATCTCCTACTTCTCCTCTCAGATATTATTTGGGGAGGGTAGATTTTAAGTCTCTCCTGGTTATTGCATTCCCTTGCAGCTCCACATCCCCTGACAGAGTGACGGGGAGAGCACTTAAGATCTCTAAGTGGCCAGTGGATGCCAGCTTTCTCTTTGGCCACTATGTGGGTAAGGCATTGGCTGGAGTCCTGTTACAAGCCCTCTTATTGCCTTGTTTGATTGGCCTTTACTTCTCTGGTGATCAGATGTGCGGTGATTCTGTTTAAGTTAGTGCACTGCAGGAATTGGTCTTTTTTGGCTCATATCAAGGGGGTTCCTTATGGTCTGGTCCAGCATCCTACTGGGACTCGCCTCTGACCCAAGGGTCATCACTGCCACCTTCCCCCTCTGCTAAATCTGACTGACAGTCTGGAGTTCTCTGCTTCAGTTTAGGATCCCTTTGTGGATACATTATTGGCTCTGGATTCTGCACCTCACTGAAAGAAAAATTAGAGTTAGGTACCTGGTAACTCTGTTTCTAGGAACCTTTCAGGACAGCATCAGAGCGGTGTTTGCTGTTCCTGTGGGAGGAGCCTATCTCTCTGATGCTGTCCTGGAAGGTTCCTAGAAACAGAGTTACCAGGTACTTAACTCTAACTTTCTCTAGTCACCTTCCAGGACAGCATTAGGGAGGATAAGCGAGCACCATACTCACAATAACGGGGCGGGGACAAATTCAAGAACCCGGACCAGGTAGCTCTGATCTGGTGTATCCCCCGCACTTTCTGCCCATGAAGAGGCCCAGGCCCTCAAAGAGCGTGCCAAAATATGCTGTTGGTTTAAAAATTTTGTAGATCATAAGCTTGCTTGTTTGATTACTAATTCAATCCCCCTTCCTATAGAACTTTTAGAAGCTATCAGGCCCTCTTTTGGTCCTGAAAATAGTATGAATATTTCAATTAACTGATGCTCTCAGACTAGTTAATGTACTCTAGCCCCTAATGAATGCCAGAACTTATAAAGGTGTCAGAGTCCATCATGTCCCCAAACACAGGGAATGGAGGATCCACCCCTCTCTCCTACCTTAGAGCTGCCAGCGCCAGGATCCACCAGATCAGATAATGCTGCTGTAGAGAATGAAAAAATAATAAAGTCACCGGCACTCCAAATGATCAAGTCAATACGTTTATTGACCCAAGTGATAACACCTCTAGCAACGTTTTGGGACCAATGTGTTTGCCTGAGGAAGGTGAATCTCCCTTGAACTAAAGGAGAGTGCACAAAACTGGAGCAATACCCCTCCAGTACTCCTGCCCACTCTCACGTTTTTGGCAATAAGAGTCTAAAGCAATTGTTACAGGGCTTGGGTTTGTCTTGCTTGTGCAGATAGACAGCTGCCTATGGCCCAAAAGCCTGATGCAGGTACAGAGAAACCCTCCTAGGCTGAGAACTCTCTTTATAAATCTCTGCAACAAAACAGAGGTTGCC